CATGACATTTTATGGATGTGTTCGGTAATAATAAATTTCATGTCATTTATTATATATGATGGTTACCGGTGTATCGACAAGCATACTTTCAAGGTAAAACAAGCATTGTTATTGCTGGCTGTTTTCGGAACGTTTGCCTCAAGAAACATCAAGTTAGTTTTAAATTGGATCGGGAAGAAGGTTTTCGGATGCGTACTGAAAGTCAGTAAATTCACTCCCCTCATACATCTAATAGATACATATATAACCTTTTAGAATGAAAATTTTAATAAATTTTAACTTAAATAAATAGTAGTGAGTAGACGGCTAGAAGGACGTTTGGTTATAAAGCCGCTTTTGAATTTTAGTTTTGTATATTAGTCATCCTGAAACAGTACACAGTTCATACGGCATTAATGTGTATGATGACGAATTGCGTTCGAAGACTGGAGACACAGCTGATCATTTTTATTGGGACATGCTGGCCACCTCGTGCCGAGCACTGTCGGTTGTGTCGAAGGTACATATCGTTGGTTTTGACGGCTCTTTTTTCACATCTTTCCTCGATTTTGATGTGCTTTTCAGGATTTGATTTTGTTCATTTTGAAAAAGAACCCGACCGCCGAGCTCGTGACACGTAGCATCTCAAACGCTTTGGATTCCTACACTGCGGAGGTTAGTGAAGTCCAGTGAAATTTGTTGATTAAATGGATTGCAATATGCCTATAAATATCGACTCTCCGTCATTGCACGGTGGCTTTATGTGTCAAATTGACCGTCATCGTGCTGTCAGTGTTCGTAGAGTATTGTGATGACGTTACTGGAAGTATTTTATATCCTTCCATCGTTGCTTCTGACGGAAACGCTAGGAATTCTGATGGACGGTTAAAATGGCTCTCTCTTTGTGATAACAAAACCTGAACAAACATAAAGTGTTTTTCAGCAAGAAAATGCCTTACAGCAAGGACGAAAAAAAGGCTGCTAGCAGAAGATTTGTTGACTTTGGCAGGCAAAAGAAACTGAGGAAGTTTGAGAAATCAGGCTCCGAATGCAAACTTTCGTTTTCTGGCTTCCTCTTGTTCATGCATCTTTTCTTCACGCTCTTTGTAATGGTTTTAATTCTGATGGACGGCTCTGTTTCAATATTACTTTCTTGTTGCACCTACGTGGATTCTCATGTGTGTAAATCTCGCATGTCAGATTCTGCCAACTTTCTGACCCATCCACTCATGGTACATATCGATGGATAACTCGTTATTTTTTTCTGGAGTACTCTATTGAATTGTTCATTGTGTTCTCTTCATATAGGACTTATCTACCATTATTAAGACACTAGCTTATGACTTGACTGACTTGTCTTTATTGCTTCGTACAAAATGGTCCAAAACTGCTGATAAACAAATGAAGCGTGCTCACAATATAGGCATTGAAGTAGCAGTTGTGGGACTGACTTGACCTAATGGCTTTTTTGGCCTAAAATCTTTTTCCTGTAGTATTCTCTCTGATTGGACTATGATGTATTAGCCAGTTTTCTGTGCATTTCCCCATCCTTGGTCTAGTCATTGGTCATGTGGCATACGTTCCTACCATTTTTCTAACCTGAGCCGCTTTTTCTTCAACTCCCAGCTCTCACCCGTTTCTCCGTAACAATATCGATGTTTCGACCACACTGTTTGCCTAATTCTCAAGTAGTCTTTTCACGTATCTGAACTAACTAAGCTTATTTTCAGTTGCCTTTTGGCGAATTAAGCTAGCTCTTTTTATGAAGGTGCGTCGAATGTCGTACTTATTCTTGATGGCAAACATCCGCCTAATGTTTCTCATTTCATCTATCTCATTCTTGCTAGTGTCTGTTTACTGTAGCTTAACGATCCATTCTGTACAACAGATCTAGCAGTTCTACTGTTTTGTGGGGTTTTCTCCATAGCATAATACTTATCTCCAATCATTTGGGTCAAGCAGTTAGCCTGGACGCTACGAGTATTTATCATCTGCAGTTACCTGTCAAGGGGAGAAGACAAACGCTAGCCCCTTTTCGAAGATCAGGAATTTGGTTCAGAGTGCCATACATCCGATGGTTTGGGAAGGCAGGTTCAAAGATAACACTGAAAGAGTTTGACCTTGACTGTTGAAACCACATGGCCTGGTAAAACTCTATAATTTTGGTGAGCCTCTCAGTCTCAAAATGGTAGTGGTTGGAAGTCTCACGTAAAGTAGGCAGCTGGACAAATTACTTGGATTTTGCGTGTTAGTCTTTCGATATCGACTGCGGGACAGCGATGACCTTATTCAAGCTGTTCAAGCAACAAAGAACGATATTTTTGGAACTATTGCATACGAACTTCTTTGGACGCCATGGCTTTGTATGATAAAATCGTCACTGATTGTTTGTAGAATATAGTTTTTGACGTTTTCGTCAGGAGCAGAACGAAATTAAAGAATGCAAAACTTGCACTGAGTAACCTGAGCCCTAAAAGCATTGTGTATTTGATGGTTATTTTTTTAAATGGTAAACCAGCAGTGGTTAATTTAAGTTGATAGTGTAACGTACAAACCTCGTTGCGGTATCCCAGTGGGTTCTCCTGTTAGTGTAGTCCTACTGCAAATCTATTTGAATCATCTTAAATCTAATGTTTTAACTCTCTGTTCACTTCACTTCATAGTTGCACTTTATTTAAGATATTTGAATGACATTTTTTTACATGATAATCCTAATCATTTTTACTTTCTAAATAGCCAATATACTAATAACCTATAAAATTCACTTCAGAATACGTGAACAATAATCAGATGGCGTTTTTTATATTTTTATTAAGCGAGATGCTATTGGTACATTCTTCTTCACAGTATATAGAAAATCGCAGCACTCTAATTATTATCTTAACGCTTCATGGTGCATATCTAAAACTGCCTTTTTCACTCTCATGAAATGCATGCATCATAAGTCCCTATGCATTGATGACCGACTGCTCAGGGGAAATCAATCATATTTCATGAATATTCCGGATCTGTCAAGTGAATATGCCAAATAAAACTATAGAAACGGATATGCTGAATATTTCTTTGATAATGTATTTAAACGCCCCCAGTTTTATCTCGCCCCACTTTTGATTGTAATTCCTTTATCACGATACCTTACGTACTAGATATTTCCCAGGAAATTGGACTATAGTTTTTCTGTGTGGACAAAACCTGATGTTTAAGAAGCTTGATTCTCATCCCATCGTCGTCTGTTAAACTGCATGCGATAGATATTTCAGATTTATATCAGCACGAAAATGTACAAAAGCATTAATAACTAGATTAGCAAAACACAGAGGATCCTTTAGGTGCCATAACCTGATCATTCTGGTTTTGTTGTCCATGTTTTTGAGAACGGTCAAGACTTTAACAGCGGCGATATCATGGTGGTTGATTGACACCGCGACAAGATAAAGTTATTAATCACGGGTGTCGCTTTACATTACAGCCAACATAAACAGAAATCGTAATGGGTGTGTTGGCGTCGAACATGATCGATTGCTCAGTTGGCGACCGATCAAGCTTTCAACAAATCGAGTCAAACAAACTCAGAAGTTTTTTTTCGATGTTATTCCTTCCTGATGATGGCTGACGCCAGTTAAGTCGAAACGTTGGAATTTCTGTAAATACAAGTTTTATTGTTTCTCGTGCTATCAGCCATAAAATCCGAAGACCTATCTCCTTTAAGTCATCGGCATGGGTCTTAAAAGTTAAGGTTGTTTATTTGTCGTTAGTCCAGACTTGTTCAGTAATTTTGTGCTAACCTATTTTGAACTATAAAGAGATGAAGGTTTTAAAGTTAAATTTAATCTCAGAAGCATTGATATATAGGTATACTGATCTTGTCATGGATGGTTGGCACTGTTAGAACAAATTGAGGAATAAAACAACACCATGGGCTGTTTAATTTGGTAACAGTAAGTGTATAGTTCTTGCTTCAAAACTGTACAGTTAAACGTAGCGTTCACCTTCAGGTTCTTCAGCATGACCGTTTTGTTAGTGAGTTTTAATCGAGTTACTCGCCTTTCGTCTTTCTCCTGTGTATAACTAAAAATTAGGGCGTGAGAAGAAGACAGGAATTTGCAGCTATGCTTACCACATGGTTCTAAACGAGGCACTACTGGTTGGTAATCTCGAAACGAAGAACTAGCGTCGTCCCGTAAGCTTTATAGAAAAGGATGTTATAGGCAGCGCATCTCAAGGAAAATTAATGGAGGCAGAGATCCCATTCAATTGATACTAACATTCGTTTCGTTGTCATTATCGTACTGACATGTGTCTTCTCTAGAGAAGACGATGTGGTTTTAGTTTGCTGACATTTTTTGAATGGTCGATGAACTGTTTTCCAACAATGTTATGAAAGTGGAATTAGCAGTGATAAATGAAGCATCGTCAAACGATCTGCTGAGTTGCGATATTCCGTTAAATTCACATTTTGTTTAGTGTCACGCATAGCTTGTAAAATTTACGCAGTTGCGTTGAATCCCTTCTACCTTTAAAATATTTCGAGTTTACTTGCTTAGAAGCGTTTTTACGCTATAATGTATACATTAAATTCCATATGTCTTATATATTATTTGTTTTATCGAAATTGCGATGAAGCAATGCCAGGTTTTATTTTCAGATAATCTCTGTCAAGCAGTGGTTCGCGCGGGAACGCTCTGCGGACGAAGTTTGTCAATAGACCTAATGACGATGTCATAATAAAATTGTTCGAATTGTGTTTTCTTTCGTGAAAATGTTTACAGTCGACCTTGACTGGCGGATTTTCGCTGTGCCTTCACGTATAGCTTGTTTTTGGTACTATGATGGCAATTTTTACTTTTTAATAACATCTGTGCTGACCGCTGGCTTTGTTGCTTAGCCATGAACTGTAAGTGCCTTCGCTGGGCGTTCCGGCTGAGTTGCTGGGAGCCAAGTTTCGCCGAATGGAAATGCACGTTGCAGAGCATACAGGCGGACGAGA